ATGTGAGCTGCTGAAGGCTACAAGAGGGAGCAGTAAAATCTCTTGTTGACACTTGACACTTGTGTTTGTAAAAACAGGATTATACAGGGGTATTTCTCTACAAACACAAGCACAGTGACATCAGCTACTGAGGTAAATGTGGTTCATGGACTCAGAGCACTGAAAAAGAAAAGAGTGTTTGTGTGAAGCACTCTGTTATCTTACACTTCAGAAATGGCTCGGCTGTGTGCTCTGGTACTACAGACACATACCACTCTGAGATTACAAAATACTCACAAAGATACTAAAAACACAGAGGATGACCACAAGGCTGAGCATATTCAAACATGACCAGAGACTGAAATGAGGAGACAGGTGTGAGTTTCTGTTTTGTTTTTACAGAATCTATTTTTAAAATACCCATGTCAACCAGAGAGGGCAGTAATTTACCTATAAGGACTAAACAGCCATAATGTCCTCCCTCTGATTTCAGCACCATCACTGTGGACTGAAAGAAATGACGCTCAGGAGCAGGATTTAACCCTTTAGATTCTGATTGACTCAAAATGTTGTGTTTAAATGCACAAATCCAACAACAAAATAGGCATATGTTGGTCTTATTCAAACACTGGGGTTGACTACACATAAGTAATGTTATACAATGTTGTAAGATGCTTCTTAAAATAAAACTAGTGCTCAATATTGTCCTATCATAAACACGGTCTCTCAGTATTTGTGCTAAAAGACATCTGCTCTGCCCATAGATATGCCTTTTTTTGGGTTGCTTTTTCCCATTATGACTGTGGATAAAATGTGTTTGCTTAATAATTGACAAAAAATGATCAACAAATGTTTACTTCAATGTGTTTTACTTCTGTGTGTCCTTGTTTTCACAGAGGATGCTTTAAAAACAGAAACCACTCCATGTCTCACCAGATGACGGCAGACTGCAGGAGGAGATGCAGGTAATGAAAGGGTTAATTACAGCTAATTTTACACATATACCCATTTCAAATCTTATATTTAATGGTGATATTTTTTCACAGTACTGGTTATTATATTCGATACTGTATATCTATATCAAAAAGGTGAAGCTTTTGGAGACTTGGGCAGCTTCATAATAATCTGCATTACAGAATTAACCCTTTGTGCAAAAATAAATGATGTTTAAATGTAATCGTCACCTTCAAAGACATGTCTTAACGAGTGAGCTTGATTAATTTGTGCCATTTTTTTTATGAATCTGAAGACAGTTAAGGATTCATGTTTAATCATATTGGTTTTGTAATTAAGTAAGATAATATTAATAAAGGGTAAATAAACAAAATGCATGTCTTTGTGGGTTAACCAATCACTGATCTGCAGCAACATGGCCTTTAGTGAATTCACTTTCACATCACACCCACATGCATTAGGAAAGTCTTGGCTCAAAATGTTGCATGATTTCAACATTTTTGTGTCTCTATGCTTAAACCACCCATAAGAAAATATAAATGTACAGTTATATTGGGAGAAACATTTGACTTAGTGTAAATAAAACAGTCTGTCTAATCAGGAAGTGGCAGGCAGCTCTCACCTGGCTTCCCTGCAGTGGAGTGGCCATCTTGAATGTTTTCTAAAATAGCAGCAATGCTAGGCTAATCCACATTTACACGTTATATTCTTTTTAAATTATTCCCAAAGTGCGTATTTTATGTTTTCATTACTTATTTGAATGATTTCCTGACACTTCTTCATGTTAAATGACAGTTTGCTCTCTTTTTACAGATCACAGCCTGTTTGGCAGTTGGGACACTTTTACTAAGGAAGTGTACACCCTTGAGGCTGCTGCAGTTTAAACAATAACTATATTAATGAGACTAACATACAACAATGAAGTATCTTCCGGAGTTCTTCTGTTTCGTGAGTACTAAAACAAATAAAACAGCCTCTCTCCTAACAGCTCAGGCCCAGGCAGCTGCCTTCCTGCCCAGCTATGGCTCCCCCTAGCCGTGCCTCCATGTTTCCTTGTTAATGCACACCATAATGCCCTGACCCACCCTGATCTATTACACAGCAAATACACCAAAATATACCTGAAAACCTCACTTTCTTCGTCTAAATGTGTAGTATATAGCCTCCATCTGCCTCTAAGCCAACATTGGGCAGCATTGGTAACAGCAGAAGAGAGGATTTCTTACCTTTTGAGAGTGGCTATGGTTATACCTCCCTCTCCAAAGTCTCTACTTCGACAGCCTCCTTCTTCTTCCCAGCAATCCCTGCAAAAAAGGACACTTCCATGTAAGTTGAACATGTAGGGGTGATCAAATTGAACTTGACTAATTTGTAAGAGCCCAGAAAGACCTCAAAACCCAGGAATGGCCATTTTGGAACCAAATAGAAATATTCTCCATATTTAAATTTTAAAATAGCATGTTAATGGCATTAAACAGCAAAACCCACTCCTCAAATACACCATGTACCACCCCTATGTTTTCCACTTATTATGGTCCATCCAGTAGTCATACAGTTGATACTGAAGGGCGATTGTTAGTTGGTGCGCAGCTGAACTCTCAGGCGCATTTTGCTGCCTGTTGTGCGTTTGCCAAGCCCCAGAGCGTCTTGTAGAGCCTAGAAATAGACCATTGGTTGTATTTATGAATCAATTGGACCCTTTTCTTGTGAACTAGACCAAAAAAACAGAAGAAAAATATTTTTATGAGCGTAGAATCCAACCAGCCAAAGGGAGCTCTTTGGATCCAAATGGGTTTCTCCAAAAGTGCACAGGTGCATCCAAAGGCACAGAGAGCCCTTAAAGGCTTCAGGAGGGAAACCAAGTAAGTTTGCCTGACTTAAAAGGTAATTATAACAACACTTTTCTTTAAATCTTACAAATTAAATAAAAAAATCAAGAGCTACACGTCAATTTTAGAGTAAAATGTACCAAATGGTGCAGCTAGCACTACAGACCGTAGAGTAAATACTTTAACGTGTTTAAAGATGTGAATTACTTAAATATATTTGTGTTAATACTAGCAGTACTATAACATATCCTCAACAATTGTAATTATGTTCTATTGGACCAACAGAAGCAACCAAAGAGTCAAAACCTGAGCTACAAACGCACCCATTCAGTGCGCCAAAGTAGTCTTAGTCTGGTCCTTTATCCAAACCTGAACAAGCAGTAGTTCGGTCCTGCAGCATAAAAATAGTAAAAGCTCCAGAAAATCCAGTGGATGCTTGTGTGGGGGATGACGATGACGACGGTTGAAGCTGTTTAACCCTAAATAAACCTCTATGCAAATTATGTCGGCAGCTGCCAGCAAAGCGTCAAAGGACAATCCTGTTCCCTTCAGAGCCTGTGATGTCTGTGATGTTTACGTCGTGTATTACAACAACACGTAGTAGCCACAAATATGATGGGCGTCTGCCTCGTTGCGTGTCCAGACCTGATCATATGAGCCTCCAGCAGGTTAAAGACCCCGTGTCCCCTCTATCTCTTTCCCTGTGAGATGCCAAGCCTAAGGCAACAGCAACACAACAGAAGCACTGTCCTCGCTATTTGTAGTGGAAGAAAAAATAGAAATGAAAGCCGAGTGAATTCCGTTAGAAATGACAAAGACCTTGTTATCTGCTCAGAAACGACCGTCCACAACTCATGCTTGGATGTATTCTTGGTAAAAAAACAAAACAGGCGCATGTGTAGCCCATCAGTCAATACACTCCCACAGCCGGAGCTCCAGCCGGACGCGCGCCTGTCCTCATTGTGCTTTTTGCCGCAGCAGCTGTCAAACAGATCATATTTCAAACTGAAGCTCGATGAATAACCTACTGACAGATCCTATATGGTGCTGTACTAACCGCACTTGTGCAACATCAGTTGTGAGTCGGTCGGCGGTCAAAATGCGTAATGTTCAGGTTGGACAAACAGCTTCTGTTGCAAGACGATCTGTCTTTTTTTTCCAGCTGGTGGCAGGAGGAGCGCTTTGTTGACATCAATAACGATCTCTGCAGGCAGTGAGTATACACAGCACAAGAGAGAGGTGTGGGTACAAATACATCAAAATACTCCTATTAACGTTAATTATATTGAAGGCCTATTTGGGTAAAATATGAGCATACACTGTATTGTTGTAATTGACATTACACAAGTCTAATATTGTCTGATTTCATTAAATGTGTGAATATTTTAAAACAAAAATAAATATATGGAAATACTGTCTTTATTGTGCGGAATTTCCAGAAAAAAATACAGAGAAAGCTTTATTTAATCAGGGGTCATTTTGCTTATTTTTTATCGGAAGTGGCCATGTTGCCACAGAAGCTCATTAGTTTTAGAGGGCCTCAGAATGTATGTATTCAATCATATGATAGTAAAAAAAAAAGTAATGGTATAATATGTTAAAAGTATAGTACATTTCTACTGATATTATCGACACACTATACTATGATGTTTATTTTTTATATATATATTTTCCACATACTATACGTTTTTTCAGATATTTTCAACATACTAAGCCTACTAAGACTTTTTTTCCGGCAATTTAATGTTTTGTCATTTATTCTACATATGATACCATCATTTATTTTTGTTTAAATTATTAGACACACTATACTATATACGTTTTTGTTTTTTTTAAAGTTGTGACATACTATACTTTGGCCTTTTCATTGTTTTTGACATACTAATCTATAACTTAATTCAACATGCTCTATTACCTTTCTCACATTTTCATATTTTTTGACAAGCTTTCCTTTTATAATTTTCTCATATTTCTGTGCCACTATCCTATGACATCCTGTAGCCTACTACTTTCTTTCGACACTATACTCGGTCGTTTTATCTGATAATTCACTTATTTATTACAAACATCCTAAAAAAGCCAGTGAAGTATGTCCTCATTAAACAAAGTAATTTTCAATGTCTTTTAGAAATGTCAACGTATTGTACAGCATGCCATTAAAAGACTATCGAACAATTGCATTTAAATTATCTTTGTCATTTAACATGTTTAAAAAAAAAATAAGCAAAAAAACTAGTCTTCCAGTATTTGTTATTTTTTATTTACACAGAGATTTTGAGCACATAATTTGAGCACTACCTTCATTGCAGTTACATATGTTTGACTCCAGGGGCGCTATATTAATGCAGATGCTGTTACATGAGTACTACTTATAAAAAGCTTTATATCGCCCCAGAATATATAAATGTAATCACTTGCAGTCATACTTCCCCACAGGCATGTTATAATGAAGAAAATAATAAAAGGGTGATCAATTTGAATCAAAGTGACATAAATGCACAGTTGATTTGAGGGTTAGTAGCAGAATTCAACTATGAAGAAAAACACAAATTAATGATTTCAAACATTAGGGTGCATACTATTTGAATCATATCAGAAGACCTGAGACCCAATATCAACATCAGTACAAACCGTCAAAAATAGTATTTTTACTTTACAGAATTAAATCAATATTTAGATCATAGAAAAGGTATCAACAGCTTCACTGTCTCTCAGCTGCACATGATGCCTCCACTGTTAGAGTGGGACCCTCCACTGCTGGCTCCCAGTGTTTCTCTGGACGGCTCCATGTTCTGGAGGTGAGGGTACTGTGTGGGCTCCGTCTGGTGGTCAGCATTTTTTCGGGCATAGTACCTCCTGGACGAGGCGCTCCACGCCTCCCTCTGCAGCGACTGAGACTCTTCAGTCTGCGACCTCCTTCCCTCTTCGACAAAAGAGATCGGCTGGGAAAACCGGTTATCGGTAATGTGGACGAAGGGGCCAGACCTTTGGGGGAAAGGGGCTGACCGTGAAGGGAGGAAGTTGGACCGTGGGGGGAAGGGGCCTGAGCGTGAGGGGTTTGCCTGCTGGCGGGCTACTTTTCGGGCATAGTAGCGTTTGGAAGCTGCTCTCCAGGCGGCTCTCTTCAGTCTCTGAGCCTCCTCCTCCCGCTCAGATGTTGGCACGCCCTGATTTCTGTTCCTGAGGAGGTCAGAAAGGATCACACAGATTCGTTTTTTTAACCCTTATCCAGACTGTTATGTGACATAAAATATAATGTCATCATTTCTTTATTTTAATGTTACAATCTCAAGGCTACTGACTGATTGAGGCTATGTTTTAATAACATGTAAATGTTATAACTTTGGGTTCTGTAATAAATAAACATTCATGGAAAACCTCTTCTCTTGTTTACTGTCTACTATTGAACTGTCCTATCTAATAGAGGCAACAATGCCCAATAAATATACATTACATATGGATACATTGAAATAAGAGAAATAAAAAAGTAATTTGAAAAGTAACATGTATGTCTTTCAAATTGAGATGGGAAAGTGTTTGTATAAATTATTCATGAAATATCAGTATTGAAAATAGTCCTCAGGTGCCACAGTTGAACATGCTGATTTAAAAAAGTAAAACTATGAACTATTAAAAACAGAAGTATACAGAATATAGTTGAAATAATTATCCAAAGGAGAAAAAATGCAGGGACTTGGGGTTGACTTCTAGGTACAAATCTAAATTAGTTAAATTGTCTTGCATTCATTTGGCTAATCTGAATGAATTAACTCACCTGAGGTCTTCTTCGTGAGGGTTGTAATGTCCTCCTGGATCTTCATGAGGTCTCTCCCCAAACGTTCTTCTTTCTGTGTTCTCCATTGTGTCTTAAGGGATCAGAAGGAATAAACAATTTCTCAGTCATACAACGCCACAGACAATGACAGATTTAGACAAGCTTTGTCTTTACAAGGCTGATACACAGAGCTGGGTCTTATTTGAAAATAATTCATAACTTTGCATAATCTCAAAGAAATACAGTTTTTAAAAAGCCACTTTGTTAAACATATTTTTAGTTTTTTTACAATAAGCCAACATTCTTGAATGCAATAGTGAGGAGTCTTGACTCATTAAAAAGCAGCCATAAAAGTGCTATCCCTATTTAATAACAATGTAATAGTTTAAATTAAGCTACAGTCAGGAAATATCTGACTAGAGAGTCATGTATTATTTCAAGTACTTGATTATTTTGAAGTCTGATGCCCAGTGTTACAAAACGTGGCATTGGTGCAACACAAGCATGAATTGAGAGTTAATTGTGTTTATGTGACGTTGTAAATATTCATGTTAAATAGGATAAAAGGTACTTTACCTTTTTCATTTGGGCTCTCATTGTCGTGACACTGACTGCCTGTGCTCTCCTGATGCTCCTCGAATCTCTCGTCACTAATTTCCCAGTTTATTAAAACTGTGTCGATATCACACGGCTCCTCTTTGATGACGAGGCTGCTGGGAGATGTAGGCAGATTCCTGGCTTCGTCGAAGACACCTGAGGTCTCGGAGGAGTGGGATGTGCAGGACTGGTCCAGACCCACTCTGCTGGGGGAAGATGGAAGAGCCGACTCGTGGCTTTGGGAGGACACGTGTGAGGGGGGTCTGGCAAAAAGACCCACTGTGAAGAAAAACAGCCATATTGTTTATATTTGAAAATATGATCCGGAGCTTTTCACAGTTCTCAGACAAGGCAGGTGTCAAGCCCAGTCTGTAAATAAGATAGGGGTAGCACCTCTAAACTTTCCACAAATGGGAGAAGTAAGGTTGGATAAAGTAAAAAACGTGAATTAAATATTATAAAAAAAGACTAAATATATATATCTAAAGACTGCCCTGAAGTTTAGGTCGCCTTCCTCTTACTGCGTTTACCTCACATAACTCTCTTCTGTGGCACACTTAAAAAAAATAAATAAAAGGCTTTTTCTATTTTATTTTATTCAGCAGTTTTTTTTCAAAAGTCCCATTTCTTTCAAAAATGTCCACATCATGTGACACAGTGAGTCCAGGTGCAACCTGATCCATAGTGATTGTATGTTAAATATTCATACTAAAACGGTGCAGTAGTTATTATGTTAACCATGAATCTAAGACATACAACAGCAAAGTATGGTGGCTCTGAAGGTCAAAACACAACACACGTGTACTTTTACTCCAATACATTTGGTTTAATAATGTGGAATATAAACACATTAATAAGACTTTAGTGGCACTTGGAGTATCATTCACAAGCTTCTCTGCAGCACAGAGTAATTTAACCAGCTTGGATAACACTTTAATGCATCAATAATTATAATCAAAACACAATATATTACTCCGAAATGAGCCCATCTGGATAATAAGTGCTTTTGTATATTTACTCGACGAACCTTTTGATTGCAGGACTTTTATACCTGTCACAAAGTATTCCTACATTTAGGTGCTTCTACTTTTACAAGATCTGAGTACTTCTCCCCCCTCTGGTGTTGCTCTAAAACTCGAATATGAACTTGTGTTTACTTACATATGTCACACTCCGGCTGCTCTGCTCTCCTCTGAGGGTGGCTGCAGCTCTGTGGTTCACCGGAGGTCTGAGATCCCAGGAGGCTGTGCCCTTTTCCAAACCCCCCGCAGGTGCATCCGGGTGTTTGAAGCCCCTGCAGCTCCTGCTCGACCTCCGTCAGCCTGCCCTGCAGCTGCTCGATCTGTTTGTCCCTGTCGGCCACCGTCCGCTGGTACTCCCGAGACCTGGCGCTGTTAACACCGTATAGCACGTTTATTATCGAGTCCACTGCCAGCCTGATGGCGTTTTCCACCACAAGAGCTTCATCATCGAGCATGTGTGGGTGCATAGTCTTGTTTTTGACCAAATTCATCTTCACTATCAGGTTAGCAAAGCTGTTAGGAGAGCGTCAAAGAGGATCAGACGCTGAGCTCGATGAGACACCGCGCACAAACGTTGCTTAAAAGTAATAAAGTCCCATTCAAAACTAGATTTAAAGGCTTTCCCGTGGTGTAAACAAGCGTCAACAATACAGAAGTGTCTTTAGCTAACGTTGAATCAGCAATACAACACTAGCAGGTTTGCTTCCTGTGTCGTGTACTTCTTCGGCACATCGCAGTCTCACACAGCGCCCCTTGGTGGGTCGTATGACTGCATCATAGGGGAGAGTGGGGTAAATTGAGCCATTTTTTAGTTATGCTGTCCTCTAAGCAAGGAGAAATGACACATAGTAAAAATGAAAGCACACACCTATAATAATGAATATTTGATCAAGGGCAGTGAAAATATTACTTCTAAAAAAAAAAAAGTGTTGTGGCTCAACTTGCCCCGCGTTAGGGGTAAGTTGATCCAGGTCAGGGGGTAAATTGAACCACTGTTCAAACATATATACAGTCTATGGTTCAAACTTGGGCATACCTGTTCAAACCTGGGCATACCTACAAAACATCTTAAAGGTAACTTTAAACAATAAATAACAAACCAAATACAAGTTTAGTTTTTCAAATATTTTTAATATAAATTTCGATTGAATTGATTGATTTTTTTTTAACATGTTAATAAAAGGAAAAGTAATCATACAAATGGTGATACAATTTCATTCATCTTACCAATCAAACACAGGGTAAATTCAACTTTAAATGTAGCCTACAATGAGCTCTTATTATCAACTTGGCCTACTTTCATTAATTTCTCCATTGAAAAACTGGTTCAACTTACCCCAAGGCCCACGGTTCACTTTACCCCATAGCCACCATTTTAGAAAAAATAGCCTAGCATTAAAATTCAGAGTCATCTTTAGCTTAATGACTCACATGGTTTAATACGCTGCCAACACATCAACATATACAATATATTTGTTTAAACCTGGATACATTTTTTTTTACATGACATTATAATTGAATCATTGTTTAAAATAAGGGTACAACTTCCCATGTGTCTTGCATCACATGCTCCAAACAATCAACATAATAACTCAGAAGTGTAAGGTCACCCTCCAGCAATCATCAAAAAGACACGATACAATACAAGCACCTCCAGAAATACTGATAGACTGATTGAAATGATTATTTATTGATCTCGTTGAGAAATGTATTGATCTCCTTGGGAAATTGTATATCCTGAGCATCTTCAAAACAGTACTTTCCTCTCAAAATACATTTGTAGTTTATTCTCATCGTTTATCTTCTTTAATAAGTGAAGATAAAGTAAAATCACAGGCAAATAAAAAACATTTTGCTTTTTTTTGTGTGTGTTTAAAGTCAGCTGTTCAAACCACGCACATTCAGGTCATTACATTCTGCGGTCAGTATTGCTAATGTGTCAAGTGTAACGAATGTAAGTAAGCCAAAGCAGAGGGAGTGTATACAACAATACAATGCAACTGGTTCATCTATGATGCAGGAAATTCAAACCATAAAACACACATACTTGCAAAACAAAAAGTGCTATCTGGGACAGGTCAAACGTGTGTATGCGGGCACACAAGCATCAAGACTGATTATGATCTTTTCCTGCAATGCAATATAAAGCCATTATAGTCAGACACATTTGGATGAACCAACTGACAGGAGCATTTCGTATTTTTAACTCTCATCTTCTTGCAAGGAATCAACAATTTGCTGCTTCATCTGGATACTAAAACAGGAGCAAAGCCTTCTGCTGTTTTGTTGAGAATGCAGTAATCATTACAGTAACACGGTGGTGGGATGTCCTCCACAGGACTGTTTGGTAAACTGCACTCTGGGCTCTGGGTCGGATCCTCACAGCCAGAGTCTGCACAGCTGATGTTTAGGACATCTTGAGGTGGAGAGGATGCCACTTCGACCTCTCCAACGCCGACCCCCCACACAGAGGAAGGGAGCTGGGTGTAAGACATGTCTCCTGGATAGATCATAGTTAAAGGAGGGGAAGCCTCATGCACACCGGGTAAACCAACATAGGAGCTTTGACACTGAGTGAAGGTCAGATGGACTGTAGGGTTGTGGTAGTCCACGTTCTCTTCTGGCTCCTTTGTAATGGGTTTCGGCACAACAATCACATCATCGGTTGTCAAGATCTCCTCAGTTGTGTATGCTAACACATACTTGCCTTTAGGTGAAAGCCATTCCTAAAAAATCAGAAGCATGGAGATACATTAACAATACGTTAAAATTAGTTACAATTATATATTCATCATAGACACATTGGATCATTTGAGCTGATATTTATTAGCTATATTAAAAAATGAAATATCTCAGCATTTGCCAGTGCTTTGATATTTGGTTCACATATTCATGGTGCACTAAAGGTAATCCCTAATGATCCCCTGACTTTTCATCCAGGTCACAATCTTATTTATTTAATCCACAACTTGGGTGTATGTTGAAAGACGAAGAAAATCAATGGCATTCGTTTGACATTGTGTTTAGTGTTAGCAAGTAAACACAAAAAACTAAGATGATCATGGTGAATAGTGAAACTGCCAATCATCTGCATGTTAGCATTTTCATTCTGAGCAGGGAAGTGTAACACTGTAATGCATTTAGCAGAAAGCACTGCAGTGTCTAAGGCCCCGCTCACACGGGACCGTTTGCGTTTATGCACAGTATGCGTATTCAAAAAAGTCTTCCGTTCACATGCATTTGTTTCATTTAACGTGTCTGTTCAAACGAGGCCGCTGGAAACGCTGTAGTACATATGCTGGGACTGTAAGTGGCGCTGTAACTTCCGCCAAAATACACCAAAAGCCGCGAAGAAGAGCAACCGAGCAGCCCCGCTGCAATGTTGCCATGGCTACCCTTCTGTTTAAGCCCCGAAACTGAAACTGAAAGAAACTGAAAGAAACCGAATCTGTGGATATTGCATCCCGACCAAGAAGCACGTCTCCGTGGAGAGGACGGCTCAGAAAGAGAGAGATATTCTCTACAAACACCGGGTGAGATCCTCCTTTGTCAATATAATGGATCAATGCATGAAATCTGACTCTGTTTATTTTGTTTAAGGAGTATATTGGGCGTTAACAATTCTGGTTTGCCTTTTATAATATTATTTCATTCAAGAACCCCTTGTGCGTTTAATTAACACAGCTATTTTTGATAGTTGCTACAGCAGTGAGCAGGAGAGGTGAGGAGAGGCGGGGCTATCGTTATTTTTTCAGGAAATATTCGTATCGAGGTGATTACACGGACTCGGTTGACCCCCCAGAGCGTTTCGTTTGCAAATCTATCCACCTTGGGACCCGTTATTGTTTGTGGGGTCAGTTTCTATCGGCCTCGTGTAAATAATAAGGCTATACGCACGCGAAACTATGCAGATACAAGCAGTTTTCTCCTCGTGTAAACGGCGCCTAAGTACAGCCTCACAGAGATACTAACTTCCCTATGGTCTTTTTAAAGATGAAATACCTTACAGATTATTACACAAACTCTTTTAGTAAACAGTATGCTTGCGGGCATCCTCTGTGACTTTTTCCGTGTAAATGTTCTTAACTAACACAGCAGTTGAGTAGAAAGGAAATTGCAAAATGTATAATTTATGTGTTGTTATTTCCTTTGTAATTTGCATCATTTTGTTTCCAAGTATTTCTGACCATTGTATTGCAAGGTATTTCCACTGTGGTAAAGTTTAAATTGAATTAAATGTCATGTTAACAACAGACCTCTGGACCACATTTCTTACCTAAAGTAGAGACTATTTCCTTAAATAAGACACTAATACAAGAATAAGGACATTGCATTAGCACCTCACCTGGAGATTGCCTCCGTGTTGTTGAAATAAAGGTTGAAAGAAAGGCGCTGGCGATGGTGTGTGCGACAATGTTTTTATCTTCATTCTGTCACACAAATCAGATAAGATTAGATTGAGTATACATTCCATCTCATTGCAACCACTATGCAGAGCAAATTTAGGCAATTATGGTGATCTTGAATTTTCCTTTCACCAACATTTGAAAGTGCAGAGGCATTACCTTGCAGTGGGACTGTAGAGTAAAAACAGCATGACTCCAACAACCACAAACAGCAGGACCAGAGATTTGATCAAAATGACTAATGTGTTATCTTGTTCTGAGAAAGTGTTATGAAATAATACAGAATTAGTAAGTCACACTACAGAGATGACTGTAAGTCTATAAGGGGGCTGGTGAAATGTTTGCATTATTCTACAAAGCTATTGATACAGATCTTTGAGACTCAGACTCAAGTTATTCATAAAATATACACATAGCGCAATACAGCTAAGAGCAGACTTAACATGTACAATATATCTGAATATGAGTGACAGTCAGTGCTGCAAAACCTTTGTGATACTGAAAAAGTGTCATGTCACCTTCTTCTGCTTCAATTTTCCAGCATGTCGATGGACTCCATTTACTCCAAAATCCATCATAGTCATCATGATTAGTTTTAGATCTCACTTTAATGCAATATGTAACATCTGGTTTAATACATGTAGACCGAATCGTTACATACATATTTTGTGAAGCAGCTTTAAGGGTCTGGGGAAGGGTTAAAACAATAAAACAAATTAATCCTTTTTAGATATATCATACAGTATAGCAAAACATGTTGTCAAAGTATTATTTATGATACTGGTCTTACCTTGCTCTCAGTGCTTTGAAGTAAGAGTTCAAAGTCAAGGAAAGTTTTGAGGTACATGTGATCTTCGTACCCACTTATCCAAGTGATGTTGAAATTCTCTGGTGTTTCTTCGACCTCAGGTTTATGCGGTGGTGTCAGCTGAACTGATTACAAACACATTTATAAAAACATAAACTATGTGAATCCTTCCAATATATACAACCCATTTTGTAACACAGTGGCTCAGTCAGTAGGGGCTTGGACTGTGAGCCGTAGGGTCACTGGTTCAAGTCCCCGACCAGACCTAAATATGGAGTGTGGGACTTCTACTTGGTGAGGTCCCAGTTCACCTCCCCTGCAGTGGTGCCCTTGAGCAAGGCACTGGACACCCCCCTCACTCCCATTGCTCCCTGGGCGCTGTACAATAGCTGCCCACTGCTCCTAGTACTAGACTCCTGGTACTAGGATGGGTTAAATGCAGAGAACACATGTCACTATGTGTGCTGTGTGCTCTGCATGTGTGACCATTAAAAGAGGGTTTCATCCCTCCCAATTCTTCTTCTTCCTATTATTTGATGTTGGGTATCTCTCCCTAATATAAGTAATGTACTGTCAAATATCCTAGTTTCTTGATGTTCTGTAATGTTCGAATATCACGCAGGCATGTATGAAAAAAGACATCAACACACATATGGGTCACTCTAGCATCAGTTATAAGTTACAATAAACTCATACTTACTGTGCTTTGATGGTTTAAAGACCTTTGTTACAGGATGACGGCCAGATTCATGACAAAGATCTATGTCATAATAATTATCAGCGCCTATATATGAGTCTTCTATTACTTTACAGACACAACTGTAAGTGTGATTTCTCCTCACAAGTGGACAGTGGTAAGTCGGCCTAGAACTTCAAAAACAACAAAAGACCATTAATGTATGAGTTTGGCACAACAATAATTGCAGTAAAAAGAAGGTAACATTTGACATTTATCCATATAATCCTGCAATAAGTGCAATTACCCCCAAGTGTTAGTGAATGTCAGGTTGTAGCTGGTGTTTGTCTGTCCCACAGGAATACCAGTGATGTTGACGACACAAGTAACTGTGTCCCAATAGGTGCTCACACATGAGTATCCATCAACTAGAGTACGAAAGTGGGAAGAAAAAAGATTTAATCGCCATGTACATTTTGACACATTTTATGTTATTAAAGAAAAAGTGATTGAAGTTACACAACTGTGTGCTGTCACACAAATGAGTGCTGTCACACACATGTGCAACAGAGCAACATAAAACATTGACTTACACAAACCCTTTACTTATCCGTTGGATTTTTCTTTTACCCATTAGTTTTTTGCTTATATGATTATTTTATGGGTATGAACTTTGTTATTATCTCTTCTGTTATTTGTAGGACAGAATTATAAACCAACCTTTTCTACAAAATATACACATAGCGCAATACAGCTAAGAGCAGACTTAACATGTACAATATATCTGAATATGAGTGACAGTCAGTGCTGCAAAACCTTTGTGATACTGAAAAAGTGTCATGTCACCTTCTTCTGCTTCAATTTTCCAGCATGTCGATGGACTCCATTTACTCCAAATTCCATCATATTCAGCATGATTAGTTTTAGATCTCACTTTAATGCAATATGTAGCATATGGTTTAAGTGTAGACCTTGGAATCGGTACATACATATTTTGTGAAGTAGCTTTAAGGGTCTGGGGAAGGGTTAAAACAATAAAACAAATTAATCATTTTTAGATATATCATACAGTATAGCAAAACATGTTGTCAAAGTATTATTTATGATACTGGTCTTACCTTGCTCTCAGTGCTTTGAAGTAAGAGTTCAAAGTCAAGGAAAGTTTTGAGGTACATGTGATCTTCGTACCCACTTATCCAAGTGATGTTGAAATTCTCTGGTGTTTCTTGGACCTCAGGTTTATGCGGTGGTGTCAGCTGAACTGATTACAAACACATTTATAAAAACATAAACTATGTGAATCCTTCCAATATATACAACCCATTTTGTAACACAGCTATTTCCTATTATTTGATGTTGGTATCTCTCCCTAATATAAGCACTGTACTGTAAAATATCCTAGTTTTCTTCCATGTATGAAAAAAGACATCAACACACATATGGGTCACTCTAGCATCAGTTATAAGTTACAATAAACTCATACTTACTGTTATCTGATGGTTTAAAGACCTTTGTTACAGGATGACAGCCAGATTCATGACAAAGATCTATGTCATAATAATAATCACCGCCTGAGCCTTCCGTTACTTTACAGACACAACTGTAAGTGTGATTTCTCTCCACAAGTGGACAGTGGTCAGTCGGCCTAGAACTTCAAAAACAACAAAAGACCATTAATGTATGAGTTTGGCACAACAATAATTGCAGTAAAAAGAAGGTAACATTTGACATTTATCCATATAATCCTGCAATAAGTGCAATTACCCCGAAGTGTCAGTGAATGTCAGGTTGTAGCTGGTGTTTGTCTGTCCCACAGGAATACCAGTGATGTTGACGACACAAGTAACTGTGTCCCAATAGGCAGTCACACATGAGTGTCCATCAACTAGAGTACGAAAGTGGGAAGAAAAAAGATTTAATCGCCATGTACATTTTGACACATTTTATGTTATTAAAAAAAAGTTATTGAAGTTACACAACTGTGTGCTGTCACACAAATGAGTGCTGTCACACACATGTGCAACAGAGCAACATAAAACATTGACTTACACAACCCTTTACATAAAAAAATGTATGACATGGTTTTTTATCGGTTGGATTTTTCTTTTACCCATTAGTTTTTTGCTTATATGATTATTTTATGGGTATGAACTTTGTTATTATCTGTTCTGTTATTTGTAGGACAGAATTAAATCCGCAATCCATATTGGTTCATTTGTATTATTTTGGTGTAGTTATTTTACATGACACTATCAGATATGTTCAGAGGATAAATGCCACGGATATCTAAAATATGATAACTACTCACTGCTTTTTGAACTATCATCAGCCAAAAAGGTCAGAGCCTCTGGATTAACCTTTAGTAGGGTATCTCATTAAATAAAACATTTTAAATACATAAGTCACAGGCAACCCAGCTGTCATTTCTTAAGAACACTTGAGTAAATGTACTTCCCACCATTGACGCAACATCACTCAAATGTTAATCATAGATGACAGTCAGATAATATAATGATGAAATCATTTCTAAAGTTTGACATTTCCCTCAAATCCCCTAATTTGTCATATGCTGCTTTATTAAATAATTTCCCACAATATAAAACATCTATGTGATCAGACATGTGAGCGGTACCTCTGATGCAGCTGGTCACTGTCAGGATGCTGGAGATCCAACACAGGAACAGGAGCTTCAGACACTTCATGTCTCCATTGATGAAAGTATCACACTGTGGATATTAATTTAACATTTCTTATTATAGTGTTTTTTTTGAATGTATTATCAGTATCATTAAAACTAATCATGTATCATTCCAGTACACCAACATTAGCAGTAATGTATACACCTTAAATACAACCCATTTACAAAAGAATATACCTGAAGTTTAGATTTTTGGAAAAAGACAAGAAATGTAACATTTGCCATGTGCTCTATGATGTATAGTGTATAGAAAAGTGCTTTTACCTCGGGGATGTCCTGACGTGTTGATGTCTCAGATGGTGAATGAGTGGTGGAACTGAGGTTCACCTTATCACCGATAGCGTCACAGGAAGTCAACCCATTTTTACGTCACCGTTTTTTTTCATCTTCCACCTTTTTGGTGTGGTTATGGGCACATGCTCTTGCTTTTGATCATAATTCCAGTGAAACATTTATTTGCAGCATTGCCACCTTTTACTAATATGATTTTAAATGGTTGTCCTTTTGTGTCACTTCTTTGTAATAATGTTTTTGTTGTACTGGATTTTATGTTGTAATTTCAGATCTTTCAAGCCCAAAAAAACAGACTTCCTTTGACTATTTCTTAATTTGATGTTTTGATGAAGGTGGGAAAGAGTGGTAACTAAATTGTGTACTGCACAAAATATAACTCATATAATACAAACCAGTCAGTGATTCTAACTAATTTTGTGAGAGCATCTGTATTCAAACCTCCATTAATTCCTTAATCTGTCACCTACATATACTGACAAAACACACAGTCCGAAGAAGAAAGGAAAAACACAAAAATAATACCTAAAAAAAAAAAAAAACTCATTATCTACTCTTTATTGAGTGAGTGATTGATTGCTTTAAAGAAATAGAAAACTAGAAGAATTTATGGGAAAGCAATATCTTCCGCTGCAATAACAACTGGACCAATATTACGTAACGTCCACACGGATCCGTCGCGTGCTTCAACGGAGACGCTTCCCATTCACTTTGAATGGGGTGACGTCAAGCTTTGCCGAACTGCATTGTGGTTCCGTCGCGTCGCTTTGCCTATTGTGTATGTTTGACCTTCACTGTGAATAATTAGTTATTAGAGTTTTAGACATTAGTTCACCACAAAATCAGTAGCTGGAGTATGACAAATACAACACAAAGAGGGATCTATACGCGTTCACATCTAAGAATCTGTACATAAACACTTCTTATCTTTTCCTAAACCTGTCGAGGTAATATAAACCCAAATTGTTTTCTTACCTCTGACAATTGATTGTTGATATTTTCCTTGTCCGCATGTCCCCGTTTTTAAATACTCTTGTCAATATTAATATAGATTTTACTGATGAAAAAACAATATTCATTGCACCAGAAGGTTATTAAAAGTATAGACAATTGCAGGCAGAGTGTTGTAGGGCGACAAACTTGTATTTCAACAACAATCAACACAGTGAGACAATAAGCTGTCAGGGAAACTCTGGACTTGGAAAGTAAATGAGGAACAGTTCCCCCTCCCACTACAACAACCATAAGGGGGATTTTCAGTAGGAAAAATAATCTTACACTGTTGGAAACATGTTTATCAGAACCAAAAGCGCAAAACTCTTAAATATACCTACAGTATGTTATGTCGTATCAACTACAGTGCCTATAATAAATAGTAATCTTTCCTGAGTTGAATTACGAAAATACTCCACCATAGTGTACGTGAAGTAACTATATACATCTGAAACATGACATTTGGTAATAAAAACAACAACAAATAGGCAAATATTCTCTTCGTAACTTAACGTTCAAGAATAGATTGTCAAAGCCAGTGTTTTTCTACTTCCTTCTGATGAACGGAGTAAAGGCCAGAGAAATAATAATCTTGTTTTTTACAGATAATGAACACTTGCTACAAGTTTGCTCTTTTTACTGATGTTGCAAAATAACAGGACGGATGGTTACAGTGGTTAGTGAGAAAATGCATGCATGAGAAAAACAGTCATAATCTGACATCTTGATAAGGCCACATTCATGCGTGTGAATGAAGCATGCAAAACAATGAGAAAATTAAGCTCCTTTAGACAGTGATAAAATAAACAGAACATTTCCTCCAGCACTTTGAATCAAAGCAATACACATCTATGCATCTCGAGTGCCCACAAATAAATGTTCTCTTTCTTGGTGCTTTATTATGATCTATCAATAAATTGTGTTTCTTTATAAAAGAAGCAATACATAACTTTAAATGATGCAGAAAAAAGGGGAAAATCAGTTCATTGTATTTGGAAATGTAAAATGTCTAACCTGGGGGGCTTCTTTTTCTTTAAGAAACACACTATATACAAAGAACAAAGTTCACAACTAACTATGATGAACAGTATACAGAAGTAAATGCTGAGCTGATACTGCCAATTTACTTCAAATCAAAGTGTATTTTATGGAAATGTCAACAATTATGTCCATCTTTTAAACCTTAAATGATTTTAAATGATTTTATTCATTTTTTATTCATTCTTCTATTTTTGAAGATTATTGCTTGCTATTGTCTACATTGCATCCATATTACACTCTATATACATCCATATTACACATGAATACACCTCTATTACACCATTAATACACCTGTATTACAGCCATATTAATCGATTATTACACCCATTTTACACCATAATTACACCAACATCGCACCCTTACTAAACCCATGTTACACTGTTATTAGACCCATATCACACCCATTTTACAGCAATATAACACCCAAATAACACCGTAATTTCACTCTTATTACTCCCATATTACACTATTATTACACCCATGTTACAATATTATTACACCTGTTATACACCCATATTATACCCATGTTATAGCGATTTTACTGTTATTGCACCCGTTATTAGACCATAACGGAATCCATGTTACACCAACGTTACCCCCATATTACACTGTTATAACATTAATTGTTACAAAGCGACATATCCTGTCAGATTAATACATCGCCCGGGATAATAGGAAGTTAGTGGGTGCAGTACTACTTGATTTTAGTTCTGCTTTTGATGTCATTATTGACCATTCTTTGTTGTTACACAAGCTGGAACAATATGGTTTTAATTTTGATACGCTGAGGTGGTTAGAAAGTTACCTGACAAATTGAAGTCAAACTATTTTTTTTTTTAATGGAAGTCTGTCAAAGATGAAGACAGTCACTTGTGGAGTACCTCAGGGTAGTTGATTGGGACCACTTTTATTTTCTATTTTTTACAAATGACCAACCATTAGTGTTAGAAAAAGCCAAAATTGTAATGTATGCAGATGACTCAACAATATATTATGCAGCATCGACTACAAGAGAGTTGACAAATGTTATGAATAAAGATCTACAACTGATATCAGAGTGGGTCATAAATAATAAGTTAGTACTTAATGCTGGAAAAACAAAATCTTTATTAATAGGATCAAATCATCAGTTAAAAGGTGAACTAAAATTGCAACTACATTTAAACAATATTCAAATTGAACAGGTCAAGGAGACAAAATTGCTAACTATAACCCTGGATCATAAATTATCTGGGTCTAAACAAATTGATAATGTTGTAAAAATGGGAAGGGGTGTGTCACTTGTAAAAATAATTGTAAAATATTTGCCAATAGATGTCAGTAGACAAGTTCTGGATGCTTTGGTTCTGTCGCAGCTTGATTATTGTTTGGTCTAGTGCTGCAGAAAAAGATTTAAACAAACTACAAGTAGCACAAAAGAAGGCAGCACGATGTGCACTGCAGTGCTCCTATAGAACCACAGTAACTGAAATGCTGGAGACACTGAAATGGTTAAGACAGAGGTCTAATTCTTTTTTGTTACATTTTGTCAGAAATATTACAGTGACTCACTCACCACATATATTATCACAAAGGTTTATAGCACAGTATGCTCAACATAACTATCAAACACGACATACAATAGAAGGAAGGTTTGTATTACACAAATCTAAATCAAATAAGGGACAGAAAACAGTCATGTACTGTACAGAGCCATGGTCAGCTGGAACTCTTTACCCGTCCATATCATTCAGGAACATTCTCAAGTACATTTCAAAAGGTTGCTAAAACATTATTTAAGTATTATAAAGTACATTTGAACATTTGGATCCTAATAAAGACACAAGACATAAAGACATACAGAAAACATTTAAGGGTTGAATACATGTCCCACAGCTGTGATGATGGCAGTAAATCAGCGGAACAATCACTGTGTTTCGTGAAGTTCGTTCTCTGAGTTGCTGGAGCCTTCTTGTATCGAGCCACATATCATCCACTGTTTGACATAGTTAGAATTGGAGCTGTTGTGATCATGAAATAATTCAGAGTCCATCTGCCCTGCCATGTTTGAGTCTGAGGCTCCAGGGCTGCTGCACTCTCCAAATCCACTGTCAATAGTGTCCAGGTCCATGCGAGGGTAGCCATCTTCTGACTGCTCGTTTGAGGCGAACGAGACCAGTGATACCCTCTCTGGTTCAATCATCTGAGCAGGCGGCTGAAAGTTTCTATTTTCCTCGAATAAGTCATTAGATATTCCATCTTGTGGTAATAACCCACTTTGCCTATGAGGTTCTTCTAAATCATATCGAGCGTGTTCTCTGTTGTCCCCCTCAAATGAACCGATATGTTCTCCATCTTGGTAACTTCTGAAGGTGTTGACTGAGCTCTGTGACACCCCTTCCTCCTCAAACTCTTCTTCTCCAGACAGCGTTACAGTATGGATGGAGACGTGTCCGGTGGAGTGACCGGCGCCCTGTGAACTGCCTCCGTCCTGGAAGAACAGCAGCGAGTCGCTGTTTGGCTGCAGCATGTGGAAGAGATCAACACCTCCATTCATCCCGTTGCCCTCCCTGTTACTTTGCTTCTCGTTGTTCCATTGAAGGACTTTGGGCTGCTTCTCACCAATCATCTGAGCATGAGAGTTGATCCTCACGTAATCACACTCGCTGAAGACAGGCTTCACCCACTCCTGCAACAATTAAAGAAAAAGAAAACATTAATTTTGAAAATCAGAGGCTAGCGAATTGGTTAGTGTAGTCAGCATATTTATTTTATTTGATGTAGTTTGTTAGCTTGCCACTGGAAGCTGACATTATGTTAGTGGTTGTGTAACAGACAATAGTATATTTTGGAAGGTATGGAAGGAAGCTACATCAAAAACAGTCAATTTCACTGCTATAAAACTCTTGCTTTCTGTGATCTTTGATCTGCCCTTCAGAATAATGTGAATAATGTGTGAACATCTCTCTTCTAATAGACTTTACTCAGATACACGTTGGTGTAGTCAAGGATATATTAGGCAACATAAGAACATGGAGGGGATCTTTAGACCCAGAGACACGAGAATGGTACTGATCTTCCCTTCGATCTCGCTGCAAGAGAGGAAATGACACACAGCGCTTTGATAAAAAAACTTGTCTTGAAAGTGCATGAGGGCAACTTTATACGTCATAAATGGAAATAACCTACTCCTTATCTAATCACTTGGTGTTTTTTACCACTCTTTCTGCTTGTTTGAAGCGTGGGATACTCGGGCAAGTACCTAAATGTATTTATTAACGGATGATTTCACAGTGTTCAGCAGGATACATCAGAACATTAAGCTACTATGATGAAGGGTTATATACATCTAATAATTAGGCCGGTACGGACACAACATGATGCTGAAGTATAGGAAACTATTTCTTGGGTTGTCTGAAGTGAGAACATCAGTTAGTGTCTGAACTTTTGTCTTGTTTAAACACGGTTTTTATAATAATTAAACGCTCTTGATTTACACTGAATATATTTATATTTCAAGCAATAAAAAAGTATTTTCAGTGAGTCCAGCATGTGAAAATGATGTGGACATATTGCAATGATTCACTCCATTATGAAAAGAGACCATTTTATGTTTTGAAATCAGTTAAGTAGGTACAATTGTGATTTTGACTTTTTTCTCCCCACAACTCTGTTAACTTTCTGCAGCCATATACAGTACTGTATAGTCTCCATTCAGCAGAGTGATGACCAGATAAGCATGACTCCGTTTTCATATGCCAAAGCCACCACATCCTGAGCTACAGAGCTCAACAGCATCTCTGAAAGGTAAGCAGTCTGCACCACAAGACTGAGATAGTGCAGTCAAACTCGAACAAAAGAGCGAGTTCAGTTTTTTGCAGAGATCTTGAAGATTTGATATAGAGGGATTATGTATATATATATATATATATATATATATATATATATATACACAGCATTTTTTAAGAGTAAAAAGCATTATACTTCAAAGCTGTCAAAGCACTACACACCGCGGACCAATATTATGTTGTTTCACTGTCAGTAATACACAGTTACAGATTTTTGCAGGAGATTTAGGATGATGTTTTAGTGCGTTTTGGGAAATTCAACAGTTTGATGAATTTGAGAGTGCAATATTCACATTCTAGCGCACTATCTGTATTTAAAGAATGATTTTTAGGTCCAAACACTGGGGCCTACATTTGTATTTCTCTATCAAAATTCAAGAAAAAATATTACTTATTTAGGGTGGACTGCAGATCACTGTAAACATCTTATTCCTTTTAAATTTGTCTTATTTCCACTAAAGTCCTCAAAAAAAGACACGTGTGGACAGCCTAGGTAAAAGAAGCCATTTCATTTACTCCATGTAATAATTTAATTTAATTCACTTGCCCTTTCTGACATAATTTGCGTTTGTGCCACAGACAATATCTCATTTCACATATTGTCCCATACCATATTACTATATTATATGTATTATTATGTTTTTATTTACTAATCGTCTGTTTTAAACAAGCTTGCCTTACCCCATTTCAGGACAAAGTATTTGACATTGATTCAAATGAAAGCAGAACGTTGTCCTCATAAGGCTCAGTTAAGCACCTTTAAAAGGCTACAAAAGCTACCTCCCCCTTTCAGTACTTCCTCTCTCAAAGCATGGTTTCTATGTTTATTTGATGCAGTAGCGCATTCTGCTGACCAATGCTTGTAACTGCACTCAGATTTTAAACTCATGCTTGGAGCTAGACGTAGTAACAACGTGACACTACAAGCAGAATACTCCAATACACATTTGATGATATTACAGGGGTGACGATAAAGATACGGTATTTAAACAACACTCAATTAATCATATAGGAACATGATGATGGCACAGGTGACACTAGAGGCATTTATTGTTCTTTTCACTCAACCTAAACTGTGAGATGAGTTCAGTATACAAGTGTGAATATACTATACTATAGGTCTTTCATTCCAGGAAAAGATTACTTAAAAGTGACTTCCAAATATTAAGAAACAGTATGATACCAGACAACATCTCTGGCACACCCCTGATGATAATAATACTACTGTGGTTGAAAAACTTGAATAGTTTGTATTGAATATTGAATAAGTACATTTTTTTATAGAAAATGTAACTGAGTAACAGTAACACATGCAATGAGTAATGTGTGTTTCTTTTAAATAGTAAGGTTTTAGTATTAACATGTGTAGTGACGTTTTGTAGAACATGAAGATGCAGTCTTTCATAGAAAATAACAATCAGTCTTTCTTTGGGTGTCAAAAGATAGGAAATATATTTTACATAAGGTGATGGAAAAGATAATGGTTAAAAAGTAAGCTTAACAATAACAATTATAACCCACATAATTCTCCCTCTGTGCCCCAAGCAGGTGGAAAACAGGCTTTTTTTAGACTGACAGAATGCACCAGGGGTATTTTCCACTGGGGTGGAACAGGCTGTGATACACAGATATCAACCCACAGCATGTCAGACAGACAGGGAAACAAATGGCCTCTTGAAGCCCCTGCACACTGAGTCATTCAAATACATGTGAAGTCAAGGGAAAGTCCCATCGAGCACGGTCCAGATGTGCTAAAAAAACCCTGTAGGGCAACACCTGCTGGGTATTTTGGAAACTACACACACAGTTCAGTTAGTTTTGTTTTCTCTCACCTTGAAGTTCCCTCCATAGCTGAGGTCGAGTGGCTTGAAAAACTCATCTGCTTTGGGGATGAATACAATCTGCTGGAGTTTTTTCTGACACCACCTGAAACAAATATGAAATTATTTCTGAATTTCTGTCACTTTTGATGAGCTCATTTTGTTTTCAGTATGTGAGGGCAGATTCAAGTGGTGGCTAGGAAGGATTATATCTAGCTTGTGTGATCCAGACATTTCCAACAACTCCAGAGCAATGCAAAGTCCTCAAGTCTAAATATATTGAAAAGATAGTGTCAATTCACAAAATATTTTGATCTAATCTTCTTCAATCCATGTTTGTCTGCTTTTAGCCTTTCAAAAGTCACTTTTCTCCGACTCGCCGTTAGCATTTAAAAAGTGAGGCAAGAAAGGACGTGTTAATTGACTAGCTAATGACTTTAATTAAACAAAGTGCTGTGCATTTTGGGATTTTATTGGCCTCCATGATCATTAATAATCTAAATGGATACAATTAATACAGTGGAAATAATGTTGATGTAAAAGCTTGCCTGGTTTGTGTTTTTTTGTCGCACCTTCAGGTCACAATGTTTTTACTGACATTTTTTTAAAGAGGTGTTGATTTAAAAAATGTCTCTCAGTTTACAATTGGCCTACAGTACCAGCTAGCGCTTTGATTCAATACCAATATGGTCACTAATATACTGCTATTTTCTTTTTACCATGGTGTACATATCTGCTATTTTGTTTTTTGTTTATTTACTTATTGTGCTATTATTAACATTTGCATACTTAGCCATTTTTTTAATGTATTTTCCTCACTTTATCTGCACCAGCATGTACATTTCCCCGTTGCGGGACAAATAAAGGATTTCTAATTTCATTTTAGAGGGTGTGGCTTACATTGCTAATTAATTAAAATGTGTTTTTAGTATTTGTCATCCTTCATTGATATGAAAGTAGTTGGATAAATATAAGAAAACGCTTCTAAGTATAACACAATATATATCGACTGTACCACAAAGTGCGGCCTCTAAAATGAGTTTCCTGTTAAATCAACATCCCTCTAAAACACTTGAAACAAAAGCTAAATCTAAATATCACACGTCTGCAAAGTGATCAGGACGCCTGCACTGCTGCAACTAATTAGATTCATTGCAAATAGCTTATGTAAGCAGTGCATTAAACAGAACCACAGTTGAATTATTGCTCTCATCATCTTATATTATCCTCTATCAAAGATGGAAACAAAAATGCAAGTTCATTTCTTTGTTCAAGCTTATGTTTTTTATTCACGTGACCGTGATGTGTTTTCAGCTCTCTGATTCTATGCATGACTTCCTATGTCTGCTAGCCATTTTGGTGCAATGTGTTGCATGAAGCACAGCAGTGGTTTCTCTACATGTGGGAGGTGATGCCAGGAACATGTTGATCGAAGCAGAGAGAAGCTTCGCTAATCATTTACTGGAAGACAAAGTGCTGTGACCTTAAGATTATATTTTATTTCTCTCCGCTTAGTTCTTTTTTTGTGTAATGACTGCCGATTTAATTAAGTGTTGATTCAGTTAACCTATAACACACTTTGTTTATTTCAATTCTGTAATGATAATAGTTCAGTCCAAATGTATTAATGTCTGCAAGTTTGTCCAAATGCGAGTAGTAGAATGTCAAAGACGACCAGTTTGAAGACAGATTAATTTAGTTTTTGTGGTTGAGGGGTTGACATTATAAAAATGTATTGAGTTTGGTAAAAATGGACATGTGGATCACTGCTGGTAACTCAGCACTTACGACGCCATGGCTCAAGGCCTTGTAACAGTACTCAGTGTTTACAGTACTCACGATTTTTTGGAATAACCCAGCAACACAAGAAGGACAAGAATGACAGGCAGGGAGATGTACCACCACTGTTCATTCATTCCTGTAAGGGACATATAACATAGAAAAATACATTTAATTACAAGCTATTTTCACACTCTCTGAAATATTTACATGATGAAGTATCATTATGTGACTGGCAGTCTGATCAGTCTGATTTATATTGAGACACGTCTTTTTATTTGAATGGCTTCAGGCTCTTCTACCTTTAATCTCTGAAGTTCCAGTAGTTCTCCATTCTGCACTGGAACTCCACTCGCTCCAAGGACCAAGCAAGTGATTACCAGGACACATTTTGGCCTGAATGTCCACAGTATAGCGCACATGTGATTGGAGCTGCTCACTGTCTAACAGGAAGAACCTTTGTGGTCCCACTGAAAGGGAGTAAACTGGATCCTGTAAGAAAGGAATAAAGAATATAATTGTTTTTTCTTCAGCAGAGACAATAATAAACAGCCTGTTGTTTTGGTTTTGTTTTGGGATTTTTGCCCACATATTACCTTTGACAAGTTCTTGCTCTCTCTTATGCGCACACTGTATGTGAGACAGTCTTTTTTGTTGACGAGGTGCCAGGTGATGTTGTAGAATCCGTCAGTGTTTGTCACCTGGACACCGACAGGAGGCGGAGCTTTCACTGTGAAAGTTAAGCCCCAGGGGGAACAGGGGAATATTATGAAATTGAAAATGTTTGCCAACAATGCTCTACACCACGAGTGGCAGCTGAGCATTATTTTATCTTAATCTGGAGGGTAATGCAGGTGGGAGGGCGTTTGCTGCCAATTGTGAGGATTGCAAAGTATGCTTATAGTCATCTCTGAATTATATAAACCTTCGAACAAACCAGAAAATAGTTTAATGTATAGTAATTCAAACGAAAGCTGTAAAGAAGTGGCTGTATTCAACAGGAGAGAAAGTGCTTCAAATATGTCTAATTTTCATATTTAATACACATTAAATATCTCTTAAATATAATCTCAATCTCAATCTTTATTTATTTATATAGCACATTTAAAACAACCTCAGTCGACCAAAGTGCTGTACAGGCAATAAATACAATATAAAATAACACAATGGGAGTAAAATAATAAAACAATAATTAAAAACATAATAAAAAACACAATAACTAGAAACATATAAAAAGACATACAAATGTAAAAATGTAATGTTCAACTAGTATTAAATATATATATAAAAATATGTATACAAATATGTATTATATTTAAATATGTCTTAAATTTGTAAATAATTCTCATGCTACAAATATTTAAAAAACGACTTTATCATACATGTCACTCAACACGTCATAAGGGATGTAAATGCGGTGACCTTTATTTAATTCTGTGTTATCCTCTTATCTGTTCAGCGAAATGCAAACCACTGAATCTTCAAAATCATATAGTGTTTTTAACTTACCCACATTAGCCAGCCCCCACGGCTCACTGGCATTCACTAAAAGTCGATCATCACCCTGTTGACTGACTGTCGTGGTACACTCGGTTGCAACATATGCAACATTATCAATGTCCTCTGATTGCATTACGCACCAGGACTGAGGGGGTTTGACTTCACAGCTGCCATGAAACACATCGTCGCCATAACTGCAACAGATAACACAGTGTTAAATCAATTAAGCTCCCAGAGCATTTCTCGCGGTCATACTTCCTATGAATCATTATCGATCAATCTGATTATTATTTTCTCAAGTAATGAAATGTTCTGACAGCCCATGTGATGTATTCAAATTGATTATTTAGATAAACAGTGCAAAAAGTGTTTCCATCATATCAAAGCAAGGTACTTAACAACTGACGTCATAGGATTCATCTAAATGTCATGGATATTCCTAAAAGCCCAATATCTAAAACCGAATTCAGAGGGGGAAATGAACAGCTGTCTCTCAGACTATAGACCATCTGATATGATATAGTATTGTTTATATTCAATAAATTGACAAACTTGAAATGCACTAACATGAATCAGAATAATCAGTCACCTTGTACTGTACCTGCACGTGACATTGAGAAGGACAGCGAATGGCGGCACAGAGCCCAAGCAGGAACAGTTCAGTGAGGCCTTATAATCTGTCGTGCAGCTGGCATTGCACAAAGACGTGACTGCATCAAAAAAGGAAAGTGTGGTCAATGATTATTGCATTTATTTTATTTAAAATGCATGCTCTACAAAGGTCTAATAACTTGTTTCTTTAAATGAACTACAGAAATGTTTTTAAAGGAAAAGTCGGGCAAGGCCGCAGCATCAAGACAAACACAATGAAGAAGAGTACAAATAATAACTTGATCTCAAATATATGACATTATTGTGAGAAAAATATATGTCAATACAAGAGTAAGATAACAATAAGTTAAGGAAACTTACCAACATGGGGAATCAAAGTGAGGTTCCACAGCAACAATAAGAACAGGTGTTTAAGAGCCATGGGGAAAACCCACTGTTATCAACCGCTGGTTAGACGGAATAAAACAGCATCTGAAACTAAATATAGACATTCTCGTTAGAAATGTGTTTTGTAGTTAAACTTTAGAGAAAATAAATTGAGACTATCTGTGAGATTTGTTGTTTATTTGAGACAAAGGTTAGTTAATTATCTAATTCACAAAGGCGCAAAGTCTGTCTACCAAAAACATTAGCATTAGCAGCAATACTTGAATGCAGTCATTAAAGAGTATCGACATTGACCGGTCAGAACTAAAGGCAATACATAAATCATCTCTTAAACCAGCTGAACATCTTATAATAAAAACATTTTTCTTCACTATTCTCTTTTTCTCATTACAAAGAAATGTAATAAATCAACCGTATCTTACCTTATTTAAATTTGAAATCCTTCCACCTAAACTTTCAGCATCTGACTGAGTCACTGCGCTGATGTCTGTGTGAATGTTTCATGGAACAATGTTGGTGTCACTGCAAACGTATCATCATCATTGGTGGCGTGACGAAGGATGTGGTTTCAGACCCTTTGAGCTTTTGAGTCTGTGTAGATCCTTCCACCCACTTCCACTCTGCTTCTATGAATATGCAACAGCTAACCAGAAAGAAAAAAAAGTCAACAGGAAACCGAAATTATCTTCTATAAAAAAATGTAGCCGTCATATTGATGCCACCTCAATAAAAGGAAGACACATACTAATACTAGTTTAGAAAAACAATACACTTTCAGTCAAAGACAATTCAGAAATATGGAGATACTTTCTACTTCAACAGTTTGTGTTTTACTGAATTTCAAGAACTGCAATAATCATTACAAAGGTAGCCACTTGTTTTAATTTAGTATCTCAAAACACAACTCATACATGTTTCAGTACTGAGATATGTTTCAGTACTGAGATGATTCTGAATACCAACACCAGAGATGTGGTTTGATACCCTTAATAGAACCTTATCAGGGGGTTTTCAGCAGTTGTTTGAAGCTAAATGAGTCACCATCGTGCTCTAAAGCCCCTAAGAGCTTAATTTTAATAATTAAATGAACTCTTAATATGAACCTCAATCATTTAAAACTGGATATACATGTTCTCCAACAGGAGTCAAAGCATAACAAACCTTTTTGGTTTGCGTATATAAAATGCCATCTTAACTATTAAACAACACAATGAATTTGTTTTGTACATTGATGGGTCTTTGTGGTATTGAAGTCACCAGGTAGGTGTGCAGACATCTCACTTGATGTCACTTGCAGTAAAGGTCAAAGCCAAATGCCATTTGATCACACAAAATGAAACAAAGCTTAGCACGTAGCTCTTAAACGCGCTTAGAACAACCTGACCAATAAATACTTTTGTAGCCTTCACTGCCACTGCAGAACGAACGGCAATGGCTTTAAAACTAGTATTGACCTCCAGGTGCTGCATTGTGCAACAGTGAGTCGATTAATCAGTCATTGATAGATAGAAACGTAATTTGCAAATAAATGATGCTCCATCCGTTGTTGAGGTTATTTTATAACAAAAAAAGACAAACATGTGTGGTTTAAAAACCTCACTGTTCTGTGACTGCAGGTTACAATGAGTCAAATGGAGCGGATACACTTCCCCATGTAAATTAACAAAGTCACTTTAGGTCATCCTGTAGTATTTCACAGTATTTTGTGGTATTACCTTGTAAGGTAATTATATTCTAGCTTGATGGCAGGTTGGAGCCTGAAGTCAAGTCCAGTCTAATACAATCTAAAACCCCATTTTGCGCCCTAAGACGGGTTGGACTAAATGTTGTACAAACACTTCTCTGCCACTAGAGGTCATTTGAGGTTTAACTTTAACCTGCTGCAGTTCTTCTCAATTGTTTCAATGTCGTTTTGCCAACTACTGTATAGAACATGCTGCAATAACTTTCAATGAATTGTGGTTCTTTAAACACAATTATTTTTTTACTTTTAAGACATCTAACGCATGAGGTAGAATACATTGTGTTCACAACATTAAACACAAGTACATACTGATAAAGAGTGCAGATATTACCTGACACTGAACACAATATTCTGAGGCCTTGTTTTCAAGGAGGAGGAATCAGTTTCTGTTGTGTTAGCTCATTTCCTGTGCGAGATGATATGCAGCATATGATGAATGTCACATCGTACTTTACAAATGAGGAAATGTTCAGGAATACGGTACCATTGTAGGTTACAATATCTTTAAATACTGTCCCATGGTTACTCATCTTTAACCAAAGGGCTGGAGACATTAGTGCCAAGTGAGTCCATCGTGTTCAGTGAGGATAGGGGATCCATGTGGCTGAAGCACGATTGACCACATGATGCCATCTTTGCACTCTGATGGAGGTGTTTATATATCAAGGCACAGAGAGAGAAAGACGTTTTAGAACAAAGAGAGAACCATGTCTTCCAGCGAGGTGGGGATAGGCCAACAGTCTTTCTGTATAGATTGGATGTCAGCAGTGATTCTACATCTGATAAGAAGGGGATCTTACTCACTGTATTCAAGTTTCGACTGTATAACACCAGCAATGACACCCTAAACACACAATATGTAGGTAGTTTCCTGCCCCCATGGGTGTCTTAATCAAAACAATAACAAAAGATGGAGATTGGTGGTGGAAATGACCATGGGATTGTGGTAGTTTTTATCTTCTCCACCATTGCGATCATGGCAGACAGCTTCTTCCAGTTATGATTCCTCTAGTTGTCTTCTTTGAGCCGAATCATCAACAGAAACATTTATGTAAAGTTATTTGGTTGAAATAAATAAAAACAAAAGTTTTTGCGTACAAATTTGGCTAAAGACTGATATTACATTTTTGACAATGGATGTTTAAAACGAATAGTTACCTTGAGTAATATTAAATATTAAACTTCACAAGATTAGGCTATGGGGGAATCTTCTAAGTTTCTGGGTTAAAAACAAGCCCAAGGGAATATTAGTATTGGCATCCAAAGGTACATGCGGTTGAATTCTTATAACAGACATTCAATAACAGGAACGACCTGAAGCACAAAGTTACCGAATCGTTCTCACTGGGGAACTCCGTGATGAAGTCTGTTGTTTTATTTTTACACTGTGGTCTCTCATGATCAGAATCAGCTTGGTTTATTTGTTTTAACATAGACATGTGGTTGAGACTCGATTATAAATGGATCACATTAAGATAGTAAAACCATCACTTTCAGAGTCCACTGCAGTTTTAATGGCCACTTTTACTGCACTAAACAAAAGCAACCCCTTGTTAGTGCTGCATTGTTGTGACTTCAACGGTGCGTTTTCACAATCTCACAAAAATCACACTTGTGTCATGTATTCCCTTCTAGTTTAAGCAAACAAAAGCTTTTACTCTGGGCTCATCAGGTGAAATATTAAAGGGGGCTTTCTAAATCTGGCAGAGCTGGTCTTAATCTGGAGGATAATGCTTTGTAATATATAATGGATTATATTAGATTTTTCATGGATCAATGTACATATTTTCAGGGTTAGGTGGTAAAGGTGGAGCTCATATTTTCAGTTGTTAATCTAACCTAATTTAAATTACAAGATTAATTTAGTGGGACAAAAACAATACCGAGTCCTACTGAGACATATAAGTATAAAGTGGGCCTATGGTCTACCATAACATAAATAAAAAAGTACTTAAGTGCACTATTTGGTTGAATATAAAGGCCTACTTAGTTACTTTGATAAAATATGATTTTGATTATCAACAAAATATATGGAGCAATTGTCTTTCAAATACTTACAGTTTAAAGGGCCATTACACAGGAAGCAGTGTGTTCCTGACTTAAGTTGTGGTTACTAAGACCATTCGAGGAACTGATCTGACAGGATGTAGTTAAAAGTTAACCTTTGTCACTGGTTACAGCAAATCACCGCCTTGTGTTGCAGCATATTTAGTGTGAAGGGAAAATGCAACTCAACACTTCAGCAGATATTTATCAGCTGAACAAATCTGCAACTTAATTCAGAAATGTGTCCTAAATGAACTTGGTCTAAAAATAACACAATGTAATAAACCATAATATTCACAGTTTTACTTTTGAAGTAAAAGCAGTAAACCATTTGTGTAATTAGTTTTACTCCTACGCCTTTTCTCTCGTAGTGAGAATAAGAATCATTCAAGATGTCCTTAAGCAAGGCATTAAATTAAAGTTCAGTGGTGCAGCTTAAGAAGCCCCTCTTACAATAACGTGTAAATACATTAATAGAACAAACAAATTCTCTGTAGATTAAGTCATACATTCACTTCACAGTATCTCCAAAATTAAATAGGCTAAGTTGTTAGCAATTTTAAGCTATACATCTTTACAACTATAACAATGTTCCTGCTGAAAATAATTTTCCAGGGGGCGACAGATGTCAGTCATCAGTGCTAAACTAATAACATTAAAATGTAAATGTCAGACCTTACTACACTTTACACCTTTGAGTTAACTGCCAGTGCACCACCTGTAGGCTAGAGGTAACACAAATAATTAAATGGTGACATATTGTTTAAAATATTTTTGTGACGGCCACATTCTGAGCAGAGTTTGTCTTTGACTGCAGTATGTATTGTCTCACACAACAAGTTAGTCTGCAACAGTGTGCAGCTAACATGTTACCAAAACCTGGACATAAGATAATTTTTTCATTTTATGTGTGTATCCTTCTATGTGGTCTATTATGTAAAATTGTTCTGCAAAATACTACAAATACAGAATAAAATGAAAATATTTAAACTTGGGTTGTGGGGTGCATCATTGTTGACATTAGCTAGCTTGGTCCACTAGAGGGCAGTATAGATGGCAAAGAAACAGTTCTGTATTTGCAGCCTCAAAGGAGTTAATCATTCAGTGTACTTTAGAATGGAGATACAAGCCTCATTTTTTCATCTGTTTGCACCATGCATGATTGCATTTAACCAAAAGACACAACATGAATTAATGTCAAGGGATTCATTTAAGTTATGCACAAAGTAACTTTTAAAACTGATATATTGTACACAAATTAGTTTGTATTACTGATGAAATAGATTATAACTAAACAGAAAAAGTAAAAACGTTTCTTGGTCTCAGATTGTGTTCATTTTTCTGTATTAGCATTCTCTACTTAATGTAACACACACATACTGTAACATGAACCTAACAAAGCCAAGGCTGTTTCGTGTTTCCATTAGTGAAAATGAACGTCTATCTGTCCAATCCGCTCCAAAATTGAATGGGTTCATCCATGGCCCATGCTGAACTCTTCCTCCAATTTTCATGAAAACTGAGCAAGTAGATTTGCTGTAATCCTCCGAAAAATACATAAAAACGTACAAATCGAAACGAAAACATTACCTCCTTAGCGGAGTGAAAATATGCAAGGCAATTGGCCATTAAATGTGAGTAATTTGAGAAAACATCAGGTGGTAAAGTATTCCAGTAGAAGTTATGCAATAATCCACACTGTGTGGCACCTACTTGTTAGCTTCTGGGGAACAA